GACTGGGGGGGAAACTGGGTCTTGTACTTATGGGTGGGGCCATGCTCAGTAAATCTTCACTGCTCTTTGAAGCTATAGTTTTTCTTTATTACAAGTTGAAGATTTGTGGCAATCCCACCCACATCAAGCAAGTCATTTCTCAACAGTATTTGCTCAGCTTGTGTCTGTGTCACATTTTGGGAATTCTCACAATATTTCTAACTTTTTCTTTATTTTGGATTTGTCATGGTGATATGTGCTCTTCGACATTAGTATTGCAAAAAGACCATAACTCATGGAATATTCAGATGACGGTGACAGCACTTTTTTTAGCAATAAAGTATTTCTATTTTTGGCCATCCTGGCTTGTGGGATTTTAGTTTCCCTACCAGGATTGAACCCGGGCCCTCTGCAGTGAAAGCTTGGAGTCCTAACCACTGGATCACCAGGGAACTCCCCAGCAATAAACTATTTTAAATTAAGGCATATACAGAGTTTTTTTAGACACAATGCTATCACGCACTTAATAGACTACAGGATTGCGTAAACGAACTTTTATGGGTACTAGGAAGCCAAAAAATCCCTGTGAGTCCGTTTATTGCTGTGGTCTGAAATCCACAGTATACCTGGAAGTATGCCAGGTATACCTAACTTGTCCAAGGTGTGTGAAGAGCAGCAAGACCAAGGGTACATTGCAGGCCAACAAAGGAAGGTGAGCTAAACACCATTTGGGGATTTTAAGGAAGGTTAGAAGCAGACAAGGCTTCCCTCATAACTCAGTCGGTAAAGAATCTGACTACAATGCAGGAGATCTGGGTTCGATTCCTGGGTCGGGAAAATCCCCTAGAGAAGGAAATTGAAACCCACTCTAGTATTATTGCCTGGAAAACCTCATGGACAGAGGAGCCTGGCGGGCTACAGCCCATGGGGTGGCGAGAGCAGGACACGACTTAGCGACTAAACCACCACAGAAGCAGAGAAGAACTAAAGCCAACTCTGTCTAGACCGTGGCTGATCAACACGTGGGCCACAGACTATCTACATCCGAATTACCTGGGGTGTTCCTTAAAAGTGCAAACCCCTCCACCCCATTAGGAGCCCTGTGAGCAGGGCCTGGGAATCTACGTTTTAAACAAGCTTCCTGTCTCCATCTCAGTGCTTCTTTCCTGCTCACTAAAGGAGGTTTTATTCTTTCTGGAGTTGTTCCTCCACTCTTCTCCAGTAGTATATTGGGCACCTATTGACCTGGGGAGTTCATCTTTCAGTGCCATATCTTTTTGCCTTTTCATACTGTTCATGAGGTTCTTAAGGCAAGAATACTGAAGTGGTTTGCCATGCCCTTCTCCACTGGACCACATTTTGCCAGAACTCTCCACCATGACCCATCTGTCTTGGGTGGCCCTACATGGCATGGCTCATAGTTTCATTGAGCTAGACAAGGCTGTGGTCCATGGGATCAGTTTGATTAGTTTTCTGTGATTGTGGGTTTCATTCTGTCTTCCCTCTGAGATATAAGGATACAAGGCTTATGGAAGCTTCCTGATGGGAGAGACTGACTGTTGGGGGAAACTGGGTCTTGTACTTATGAGTGGGACTATGCTCAGTAAATCTTTAATCCAATTTTCTGGTGCTGGGAGGGGCTGTGTTCTCTCCCTGTTGTTTGATCTGAGGCCAAACTATGGTGGAGGTAATGAATAATGGCAACCTCCTTCATTGCTGTAAAGAACAATACTGCATAGGAACCTGGAATGCTAGGTCCATGAATCAAAGTAAACTGGAAATGGTCAAACAGGAGATGGCAAGAGTGAACGGTGAACACTGACATTTTAGGAATCAGTGAAATAAAATGGACTGAAATGGGCGAATTTAACTCAGGCGACCATTATATCTATTACTGTGGGCAAGAATACCTTAGAAGAAATGGAGTAGCATTCATAGTAAACAAAAGAGTTCAAAATGCAATTCTTGGCTGCAATCTCAAAAATGACAGATTGATCTCTGTTCGTTTCCAAGGCAAGCCTTCAATATCACAGTAATCCAAGTCTATGCCCCAACCAGTAATGCTAAAGTTGAATGGTTCTATGAAGACCTACAAGACCTTTTAGAACTGACACCCAAAAAAGATGTCCTTTTCATTATAGGGGACTGGAATGCAAAAGTAGGAAGTCAAGAGATACCTGGAGTAACAGGCAAATTTGGCCTTGGAGTACAAAATGAAGTAAAGCAAAGGCTAACAGAGTTTTGCCAACAGAACGCATGGGTCATAGCAAACATCTGCTTCCAACAACACAAGAGACAACTCTACACATGGACATCACCAGATGGTCAACACCAAAATCAGATTGAATCTATTACTTGCAGCCAAAGATGGGGAAGCTCTATACAGTCAGCAAAAGCAAGAATGGGAGCTGACTGTGTCTCAGATCATGAACTCCTTATTGCCAAATTCAGACTGAAATTGAAGAAATTAGGAAAAACCACTAGACCACTCAGGTAAGACCTAAATCAAATCCCTTACAATTATACAGTGGACGTAACAAATAGATTCAAGGGATTAGATCTGATAGACAGTGTGCCTGAAGAACTATGAATGGAGGTTCGTGACATTATACAGGAGCCAGGGATCAAGACCATCCCCAAGAAAAAGAAATGTAAAAAAGCAAAATGGTTGTCTAACCAGGACTTAAAAATAACTGAGAAGAGAAGTGAAAGGCAAAGGAGAAAAGGAAAGATATACCCATTTGAATGCAAAGTTCCAAAGGATAGCAAAGAGAGATAAGAAAGCCTTCCTCAGTGAACAGTGCAAAGAAATAGAGGAAAATAACAGAATGGGAAAGACTAGAGATCTCTTCAAGAAAATTAGAGATGCCAAGGGAACATTTCACGCAAAGATGGGCTCAATAAAGGACAGAAATGGTATGTACCTAACAGAAGCAGAAGATATTAAGAAGAGGTGGCAAGAATACACAGAAGAACTAGACAAAAAAGATCTTCAGATAATCATGATGGTACAATCACTCACCTAGAGCCAGACATCCTGGAATGTTAAGTCAAGTGGCCTTAGGGAAGTATCACTACAAACAAAGCTAGTGGAGGTGATGGAATTCCAGTTGAGCTATTTCAAATTCTAAAAGATGATGCTGTGAAAATGCTGCACTCAATGTGCCAGCAAATGTGGAAAACTCAGCAATGGCCACAGGACTGGAAAAGGTCAGTTTTCATTCCAATCCCAAAGAAAGGCAATCCCAAAGACTGCTCAAACTACTGCACAACAGCATTCATCCCACACACTAGTAAAGTAATGCTCAAAATTCTCCAAGCCAGGCTTCAACAGTACGTGAACCATGAGCTTCCAGATGTTCAAGCTGGATTTAGAGAAGGCAGAGGAGCCAGAGATCAAATTGCCAACATCCGCTGGATCATCGAAAAAGCAAGAGAGTTCCAGAAAAACATCTACTTTGCTTTATTGAAAATGACAAAGCCTTTGACTGTGTGGATCACAACAAACTGGGAAATTCTTCAAGAGATGGGAATACCAGATCACCTTACCTGCCTTCTGAGAAATGTGTATGCAGGTCAAGAACCAACCGTTAGAACTGGACATGGAAAAACCAGATGGTTCCAAATTGGGAAAAGAGTACATCAAGGCTGTATATTGTCACCCTGCTTATTTAACTTATATGCAGAGTACATCATGTGAAATGTCAGCTGGATGAAGCATAAACCAGAATCAAGATTGCTGAGAGAAAAATCAATAACTTCAAATACACAGATGACACCACGCTTGGGACAGAAAGAGAAGAACTAAAGAGCCTCTTGATGAAAGTGAAAGAGAAGAATGGAAAAGTTGGCTTAAAGCTCAACATTCAGAAAACTAAGATCCTGGCATCTGGTCCCATCACTTCATGGCAAACAGATGGGAAACAATGGAAACAGTGAGAGACTTTATTTTCTTGGACTCCAAAATCACTGCAGATAGTGACTGCAGCCATAAAATTAGAAGATGCTTGCTCCTTGGAAGAAAAGCTATGACCAACCTAGACAGCATACTAAAAAGCAGAGACAATACTTTGCCAGCAAAGGTCCATCTAGTCAAAGCTATGATTTTTCCAGTAGTCATGTATGGATGTGAGAGTTAGGACTATAAAGAAAGCTGAGCACCAAAGAACTGATGCTTTTGAACTGTGGTGTTGGAAAAGACTCTTGAGAGTCCCTTGGACTACAAGGAGATCAAACCTGTCAATCCTAAAGGAAATCAGTCCTGAATGTTCATTGGAAGAACTGATGCTGAAGCTGAAGCTCCAATACTTTGGCCACCTGATGCGAAAAACTGACTCACTGGAAAGGACCCTGATGCTGGGAATGATTGAAGGCAGGAGAAGAAGGGGACGACTGAGGATGAGATGGTTGGATGGCATCACCGACTGGATGGACATGTGCTTCAGCAAGCTCCAGGAGGTGGTGATTGGACAGGGAAGCCTGGCGCGCTGCAGTCCACGGGGTCGCCAAGAGTCGGACACGACTGAGCGACTGAACTGAAAGGAGGTTGCAGCATCACTGGTTCACGCCAAGGTCCCATTTATTACCCTTTCTTTCCCTTGCCTTCAACCTGACTATGGACTTAGGCTGGAGGCTGCGCTACGTAACCTCGTGCCTCTCAAGAGTCTCAGTTTCCCCGCACGTAACATGGGGAGCCCGGCGGGCCCGCGGCGAGGCTGCCTGGAGGCCTCGCACGTCAGCCGCCTGGCGCACAGTAGGCGCCCAGCACGCGCGGGTCCCTCCGGGCCGCCCGAGTCCCGTCCCTCTCGGCCGGCCCGGGCTGCCTACCCTCGCAGATCTGCTCCCACAGGTTCTTGCTAGGTAGCTCCGAAACCTGCACCGGCGAGACAGGCATATCGAGGGACTCGGGAGACACTACGGGCACTGGCGTCCTGGCGGTGATGCACGACTCGTTGGAGACTGTCCCTTTCAAGCGCTGGGCGGTGCGGCCCACAGCTCCGGGTGCCGCCATGGCAGCGGTCATGGCCGCCGTTTCCACGGCAACCGCCAGTCCCAAAAGGCCGCGACCCGGAAGAAACCGTACCTTACAGGGACGGACCGCCGAGTCGAGATTGACTTCCGGGTCACGGCGGCGCAGGCTCTCACGTGGAGGCAGGGAACATTGGCCTTTGGGTGAGTTCGGAGAGCGCGTCGTAGGCGGGACGGAACCGGGATTGGAGACTGGGTCTAGGGACTTGCGCGACGAGCCGAGGGACCGCACGAGGATGACTTGCACCCTCAGATCCACGTCCCCCTCGTCGCCGGTCTGAGGCGCCATCTTCAGGAAGTTCTCCCGCCTTGGAGCTGGACCTGGGACCCGGCGTAATCCCTCCCTCTGTGTGGAAACCTTGGTGCGGTCGGGCGTTTGAGGGGGCCGTCTCCCTTCGCGGCTCCCTTGCTTCCTGTTAGTGAGCCTGCGGTGGGAATTGGGTTTTGGAGCACAGGCTCCAAAGTTCTGCAGGCTGGGTTCGAATCCCAGTTTTATCCCTTGCTGGCTTTGGAACCCAGGACAAGTGAATTAAAGTCTCTAAGTCTCAGTTTGCACGTCTCTGAGATGGGTTATTTACACCGATCCTCACGAGGCTACTGCGAGAATTTAAAAGCGCTTTTGGAGAAAGCATTTTGCGTTCGCCGGAAACGCTGTAAGGTTTATTTCCTCTTCCCTTCTTGAAGGAATGAATACACTTGGGATGTCGGGTTTGAAGGGAAGGCTCCTCTTCACTGCCAAAGAGGACAGTGCTGCAGTGTTTTAAACGGTGGAGCTAGGAAGAGAAAGGGATTAAGTTGGCGACAAACTCCCTTTGACTTCGTTGTTATCAGACCTCTAGACCACTCCTCCACTTGAGGCGCCCTTAACTCCACCCTCCCTTGTTTGGCACCTCTCCCCTTCCTTTGCAGGCCCGTCTTCCTCTGCCCACCCATTTAAACGTTAATATTCTCTGAGGTTCTGTCTCAGGCTCCTTTATTCAAAGCTTACATATCATCCATATATTTCTAAATTTATGTCAGCCATATCAGCCCAGTCACCTCCGAGCCTCAGACCCATACAGCCAGCTGTCCACCAACATCTCCCCATGGCTGTCTCAAGGTGTCTGGGGTCGTAGATAGTCAGACAGGACTGAGCGACTGAACTGAACTGAACTATTCCAACCAGCCTGTTGCCTTCAGTCACCCCTCCGCAGTCACCTCACACTAAAGATTTTTTTCTTAGGGCTTAGCATTGCCATCCTGTGCTTGCCCAAGCTGGAAACCTCTTCAGAAAGTTTGCTGACAACTGGTAGGCCGGATTTGATGACGTCTCTTACTCTGACCTTCCACTGTGCTTGCTTTTATCACAGGTACCACTGTGAACACAACTCTTTCCCATCCACACCTAGTTGCTTCTTGATGGCAGGGTCATCTTTTGTTCATCTCTGTGTCTCTAGCATCCCTTCCTTCCTTCACTGAGCGTTTATTGAGCACCCATTCTGCTAGGTAGAAAGCTGGGCCCTGGAAATACAGCAGACAGCCAGAGGAAGCCTGTGGTTGATCCCTCAGATCTCCAGGTGCTGTAGGAGCCATTTATGAGTGAACCCGAGCTACAGCTCAGGCCTGGCCTGGCTCTTTGAAATAGCTTAGAGTGAGGCACATCCAGCCTCTGGGCTCTGAGGCTGAGGAAAACTGCTGGATGCAGCAGCTCCTGGCCTTTCCTGCCCACTGTCCAAAGCTCCTGTGAGGAGCTGTTTGTTTCTGGATTCCCTGAGTGTCTGCATGTCATCTAGTCCAGGGAGCAGGACCTGGGCTGGTGACTGGAGTGAGAGACTAGTCCACAACTGGAAGCTGAAATGTACTTGAAGGCCCACCCAGCACTTTCTCATAGGCACCTTCAGGACAGCCTCCCTCCAAAAAAGAAAAAAAAAAAAAAAAAAAAACCCTGAGCATTCAGGGTCTTTAATGTTGCCAATTTGTTTGAAAAATTAAAAACATTGAAATAGGCTTATAGACTGGATATGGCTCCCACCACCACCTGTGAGCCTATGATCTGATCTGGTTCATTGTCTCTTATGGATGGGGAAACTGAGGCCCAGAGAAGCCACTGCTGGGTGGCAAGACTATATGAGTCACCATTTGAACACATCCATTCTTAGCCCCAACTGGGGCTTCTTGCCATACTTCACTTTTGCTCCCATTCTTAGGAAGGTAATTAGAAGAGAGTTACCTACGTATAGTGTGGAGCAGTTAATTTCCAGATGCGAAGCAACAGAGCTCTTCAGATGAAGCAAGGTAACAGGTTAATTATATCACAGTTACTCCCTCTAGTGAGAATCAGCAAGAAGAGTTAACCTAAGATTTCTGTCCTCTTCATCCAACAAAAGGTAAGCCCCTGGAGGCAGTGCCTGGCCTGTGGCTTGAGCACAGTTGTTTCAGTGGCTGGCACAGGGTACATTTCTGTGGAATGAACGAGGGCTTAAGAGTCTTGAGGAAGGGGGTTAGGAAAGTAATCAACAATCTACCAAGCACTTTCCATGAATTATTGTTTATTCTTTCCAACAGCTCTCTGAGAAAGGACGGGTTATCTCTCTCCATTTTCAGATGGGGAAGTTAAGGCCCGGGGAGGATAGAGGATTGACTTTAGGGATCAACTTGGATTTATTTGAACCTGAAGCTGTCAGGATTTAAACTTCATTCTGGGGGTCTCCTAGGTGGCCCTAGTGGTAAAGAACCTGCCTGCCAGTGCAGGAGATTTAAGAGACTCAGGTTTGATCCCTGGGTTGGGAAGATCCCGTGGAAAAGTGCATGGCAACACACCCCAGTATTCTTGCCTGGAGAATCCCATGGACAGAGGAGCCTGGTGGGCTACAGTCCATGGGGTCACAGAGTCGGACATGACTGAAGCCGCTTAGCACGCACTGCTTCTTCCATCATGTTTCCCATTGCTTCCCGGGAATCGTGCCCATTTTCCCAGCCCCTAACCTTTTAGACCATCCACTCCAAGAAGCGTGGCTCTTGGTCATACCCAGTGGAGTTGTACTTAAAGCCACTTGGCGTGGGATAATTAGTACCATTTCTTTTTTCAGGAATGATCACTAAGGCTCACAAAGGAGAGGTGGACCTTGGGCTCCCAGAAAAAAAGAAGAAGAAGAAAAAGAAAGTGGTTAAAGAACCAGAGACCCAATACTCGGTTTTAAACAGTGACAATTATTTTGCAGAGGTTTGTCCAAGAGTCACACCACCCTTGAAGGATGTGATCCAAGAGCAGGCACCCAAAATGCCTCTTGTGAAGAAAAAGAAGAAAAAGAAGGGTCACAGCACCGTCTGTGAGGAGCACCTTGAACCTGAGATCACATTATGTGTTGGACGGACTGAGCGGTCACACAGCCCCAGGACGCAGGCACCTGGTCTGTCTGAGTCCCTCAGTGCGGAGAGGAAGAAGAGGAAGTCCATGTCCCCCGGCTCAAGGGTGAAGACCTCTCCAGACCCCAGACAGGACGAGGAAGTGACCAGAGCTGGCAAGAAGCTCAAAAAACACAAGAAGGAGAAAAAGGCCAAGGAAGCTACAGCCTTCTCAGGCGGGGATCCTTGGTTCTGCGAGGCCGGGAATGCATTGTATACTCACTCAGTTGGGAAGGATGGCGTCTGGGAGCAGGCCATCTCGGGACAGAAGCGGAAGCAAGGGAGTCCCAGGGAACACAGCGTGAAGAAGAAGAAGAAGAAGAAAATCCACAGGGAGGGAGATCCCCCGCTGGGGCACCCTGACTGCTCCTGGTCCCTGGAGAGCAGCCCTACGAAAGGAAGTAAAAAGAAGCCAGTCAGAGTTGAAGCTCCAGAATACATCCCCATAGGAGATGGCCCCAGGGCCTCTGTGAAGAAGAAAGTGAAGTCCAAGAAAAGGGTGGAGCAGGCGGACACCGAGGAGTCAGCTCTGAAGAGGAAGAAGAAGAAGAGGCAGGAGAGCAAAGCAGCAGAGCCGCCTTGGGAAGAGGTAGGCTTTCCTTCAGAGGCCGACTGCTTCTGAATAAGGGTGCAAGTTGGGAGTGTGTGTATGTGTACAATCTGTCAGAAAAGGAGGATTTATTGACACAGATAACTAGAAAGTTTGATAGCTGTCTAGCTCCAGGTATGGCTGGATCTGGGCACTAGTGTAATATCCTCAGTAGTACAGGTATGTATCCCTTGCTATCGAAACTTTACCCAAGTTTTCTGCACTCAGGGTCTGTATTAATAGGATTAAGGTTTTAAATTATTAATAGGACTTAATATTAATAATTATTTTTAATTATTAAAAACTTATTAATAGGAATAAGTCTTTCAGATAAATTCCTCTTTCTAAACTCTTACCACTTGCTATCTACAGCTCAGGACCCAAACAGTTCCTGAGATAATACGATGTCCAGAGCTGTCTGAGCTCAAGATACACAGTCTAGGGATCGAATTAAATTTGGATCACAGAAGATGCCCATGTGGCTTTTCCTAGCTCTGTGCTTTGTATCTTTCAATGCTGGTTTTAGTCTCAGGCTCCTCCCGACCCCAGCCCCGAGGTGAGATGGTCCCAGCATCTCCAGGCTTTCGTCATAGTAGTTACGCCACCCCCAAAGGGAGAAGGGCAGCCCCTCCAAAACGATTACAGGAAGCGTCCTGGCACTGCTCTCCCAGCCCTCCTTTGGGTCGCACAAAGCAGAAGCCCCGGTCTGAAGCCAGTGGGCAGGGGCTGACGGCGTCTGTCCCAGTGGAACCCCACTGTCCGAAGCTGGGGGGAGGTGGTGGTCCTGTTACCAGGAGGAAGGGAAGGGATGGCCGCCTGGTGGAGACAGCAGAGGTGTGCTGTCCATCCAGACCCGCTTCCGGGCTGGGGGCAGGGAGGGAGGAGATGGGCTGAGCACGGGGTCCCGGGGTGATGTGAGCGAACAGAGCCCTCCAGGGGTGCCAGGGACTCAGGGTGCCAGGCGGAGCACACCCGAAGCGCAGAAGTGGCAGTTGTCGCTGCTGAGGACCTCAGGGAAAGTGGCCACCCCGAATCTCGCTGTCACAGGGTCCTGCAAGGGGCTGAGGTCACTGAGAGAGCGTGGCCTGTGCACCCGTGTGGGAGCTGAGACCTGTGAGGGGCTGGGGCCATCTGTGCCTGGGGAGCAGCAGGTGCGGAGACCTGGGAGGAACAAAGGGCGGGAGTGGCAGGGGCGGCCGCTGGGGCCTGGCAGAGACTGTAGCAGCCGCAGGGGTCTGGATTTTCATGTAAATAGGGTAGGAGCCCGTGGAGGGTTTTGGGGGATGAGGTAGTGTGGTCCAGTTGTGGTGGTTTTACATTTTTTAATTGAGATAGAACCGACAGAGGGCAGGTGTTGGGGGCGGGGAAGCAGCGGTAGAACCTGCCCTAATGGTTCAGGCAGGAGAGAAGGTACTGACTGGAACTCGGAGTTGGGGGGTGCAGGGCATGGTATGGAAGAGGGAACTGGGGGGGCTTCAGGTTCGCTGCAGGGCGGCCAGCCCCCGCCTCTGCCCTCCCTGGCCCTCGCCCGCCCCTCCCCGCATCAGTGGGGCCCTGGCCTTGCTCCTGGCTGGCGCGTCACCTGGGAAGTGGGGCATCGTCTGGCCGGGAAGGTCGTGCTCTCGGCCTGAGTTGGGAAATCGGGGTTAGTGTGAGCCTTGTCTCTGAGCTATGCGGTGACCTCGTGATAGCCCCTTCACTGCTCTGAGCCTTAGTTTCCTCACCTGGCACATAGGTCAGTGCCACAGTTCTGAGGACAGGATTGGGGAGCATGGTGGAAGAGAAGGGCTTTGCAGGTAGCTGCGTGGCCAAGAATCCACCTGCCAATGCAGGAGACATGGGTTTGATCCCTGGGTTGGGAAGATCCCCTGGAGTAGGAAATGGCACCCCACAGTAGTCTTCTTGTCTGGAAAACAGGGGAGCCTGGTGGGCTACAGCCCATAGGGTCGCAAAGAGTCCACTATGACTTAGCACTAGTGGAAGAGGGGGAAGGCAGGTGTTGTTTGGTGGGGGGTGGGAGAGGCGGGGTGCTGCAGTCTTGCATCTTTTCTGGGCTCATCACGGTCTCACCTGCCGGGCTGCCCCAGTGGAGGCCATGGTCCACTTGAGCCTTACTCCCTCCGCCGTCTTTGCAGGAGCCCGACACGGACTTGGAGGTGGTGTTAGAGAAGAAGGGCAACATGGACGAGGCGCACATAGACCAGGTACGGCCGGTCCTCATCATCCACCACCTTCCCCAGTCCCCCAGGAAACATGCTCGCCTCCTAACAGGCCACAGGATCCTGGTCCCAGAGGCGTCGGGGGCTCCACAGGCCCCTGGACCGGCCTCTGCCCCACCTCCAGGGGCAGGGAGCCTGTGGCCGCCCTCACTTACAGCTGGGAGAGCCCTTCACCGCCACGGCCTTGGCTGAGGGGCCATCGGGTCCTGCAGCATCCCGGGCTGAGGTTGTCCTACTCCTAACTGCTGCAGGGGGAGGGGGGACATGTCCCCCAAACCTGCAGGCTGGGCAGGGGAGACGAGCTCTGCCTGGCCCATGTGCCACCTCCTGGGCTCCTTGCAGCAGCGCGGGGTTTTGTTTTTTTTTTTCCTGTCTTTCTCAACTTTATTTAAATATAATTGACATACAATAACTACACATATTTAAGATGTACAGTTTGATGAGTTTTAACATATGTATGCATCTAGGAAACCAGCTAAGCAATTAATGAACATACCCACCATTTCCAGAAGTTTCCTTGTGCCCCTTTGTAATCCATCCCACCCTCCCCCATCCCCAGGTAACTGCTTCTACTCTGTCACTGTGAATTAGTTTCTGTTTTCTAGAATTTCTGTATAATTGGGATTATACAGCAGTGCTCTTTTTTAAACAGGCTTTTTTCACTTAACATAATCATTTTGAGATTTATCTATATTGTTGCATGTATCAATAATTTATTTGTTGTTATAGCCTGTCCAGTATTCCTAGTATTATTTGTTTTGATGTTAAAAACATTTTCAGTTCTCAACTGAATTGCCTAGATTGCCTTTGGAAAAAATCAGTTGACTCTGTGTGTGTGTGATGTGTGGTGTGGGTCTGTTTCTAGGCTCTCCGTTGAGTTTCACTTATCTGTATGTCTGACTTTACACTAGTACCTCGTTGTCTAGATTACTGTAACTATATAATAAGTCTTAAATCAGGTAGTGTTAGTCTCTAGCATCATCCTTTTTTAAGTTACTTTGGCTATTTCATGGCCTTTGTGAGTCTATATAAATTCTAAATTGTTGATTGCTACCAAAAAATACTGCTGGGGTTTTGATTAGGATTGCCTTGAATCTCTAGACCAATTTGGGGAGAATTAATATCTAAACAGTATGAAGCCCTCTGATCCATAAGTATGGCATCTCCGTCCCTTTATTTAGGTCTTTAATTTCTCTCAGTAATGTTTTATAGTTTTCAGTGTACAGGTCCTACACATCTTTTGTCAAGTTTTCCTTAATTATTTTATATTTTTATGCTGTTGTAAATAGTATTTTAGTTCAGTTTTTCATTGTTGCATATATTGTGAGTCTGTAGAGATATAAGTGTTGTATAAAAGCCTTAGGAGGGGTTGTTCTATTGTGGACCAGCTTCTGCTTTTGTCATGCCCAGATCCTATGTGGGAGCTGGACTTTCCGGAATTGGGATATTTTGTGATCCTGGACCCAAAAGCTTATCAGGACAGCATAGTAAATAACCACATAAATGTGGCCTTGGGCCATTGCTGATGCAGTGACCTTGGCAGTCACCAGCCTCATGACCCCATGTAGGGGGCTGTGACAACCAGATGAGGCCGCATTGGGGAGGCGCTCAGCAAAGCCTGCCCAGGATCTGCGCTTAGTACGCGGGAGCCCTTCACCTGCCTGTGCCCTCAGGCTGCATCAGGGAGGGACTGCTGGATAGAAGCAGGGTGTGATGTGGGCACGGCCCGGGGGTGGCCCCACTGCTCCAGGAGAGAGAGATGGAGGAGAGCTTGCAAGCCAGCCGTGGGGAGGGAAGCCTACCAGATGCTTCATGGCGAATTCCCTGCCTGCTGCCTTTGGGGCCCTTCTCCCTGGAGGAGGGGCTGAGAGGGTCAGTAAGATGATGCTGCCAGAGCCCGATCCAAGGCCTGGCACAGACCACGGGCCTCCCAGAACCGGGAGCTCCCCAGCCTCCTGCAGGGCATAGTCACTGAGCTGGGGGAGGGCTGGGCTGCGTGGCTGGTGGGGCCTCACCGCCCAGAGACGACCGGTGGGCACTGACTGTCCAGGCCCAGCCCCTGCCCACCTCGCTCCCAGGTTCCCGGCCACTCACATGCCACTTGTCCACGCAAGGCTCACCAGCCACCTCTTTGCTTCCTATGAATTTGTGCCTATTAAGTACTTCACAGTCTCTAAGAAAACCATTTGGGTGACAGATGACCTCAGTGTAAGTGAAGCTTTCTGCCTCACCTCTCTGTCTATTTCTCCTGTAAAAAAGTTCATTATGTTAAAAAAAAAAAAAAGGTGGGGGAAGCAACCTGAAATCCTACCACCTAATAATAATCGCTGTTAACCCTTTGTTGTTATATTCTTCCAGACTTTGCCTTTGTAACAGTATACCTGTGATTTCAAAGCAGCATGCAGTCACACGCAGTATACTGTTCTTCTCTATCACTTGGCAGGTTCACTGCTTTCCACTTCCCTGAGTGCACATCCACTGAAGTTCCACATGGTTCCCCACTGGCAGCTGACTCCCCTGTAGGAATCTGCCATCACTTTCTCTTTCATCCCTGCAGCTGCCACTAGACTTTGTTTTCTGTAGTTTTGAACTACATAAACAGTCACCTCGTCTCAGCCTGTGGCAGATGAGAGGAGGAGAGGCCACAAACTGGGGGCAGCTAAATTACAACTGAACCCTTGGGGGAAGGGTCAGGCCCTCGAAGCTTCTGTATCCGACTGCAGCGTCATTAATACGCTGACTGTACAGTGTGTGAGGTCCCTGCTGTGCCGGGGGCTCATAGTCTTAGGAGCTTATGACCTAGCACGGTTCATTGTGAGAGTGGGGGACTTTCTCACACCAACCAGTGAGCCCCTGACACAGTCAGGGTCCCGCAGTTGAGCTCGGTCAGCCGCTGCCTGCCTGGAGACACTGTCAGATGCCTCAGCTGAAGGGCTCAGTCCCACCTGACTGCTCCCCACCCCCACCCCCCCATTCAGATGCCAGTCATAAGCCAGGCTGTCAGCTGTGCCTCCCACCAACCAGCTACAGATCAGAGGTTCCAAAGACTTCCTCCTTGGGTTCAATTAATGTGCCAGAGCAACTCACAGAGGCACTTTACTCGGTAGATGACTGGTTTATTCTAAAGGCATATAACTCAGGGGCAACCGGAAGAATGAGATGCACGGGGCAGGGGCTTGGAGCTGCCATGCCTTCCTGGAGAGCTCTAGTCTCGCCAGATATCCAGGGTTCGCCAACTCGGAAGCTCTCCAAACCTTAGCCTTTGGGTTTTATGGAGACCCCATTACTGATACAGTTAATTGAATCAGTGGCCATTTGGTGGTTGAGCTCAACCTCCACCTCCCGGCCTCTCCCCAGAGGTCAGGGGAGTGGGCCTGAAGGTTTCAACCCTTTAATCTGGTGGTTGGTTCTCCAGGCAGCTAGCCCCCATCCTCAGGTGCTTCCCAGAATCGCCTAATTAACATAACAACTTGAATTGTTCTTCTCGGGAAATTCCTAGGGTTTTTGGAACTCTGTGTCAGGAATGGGGATGAGGCTATATATGAATATTTCTTGTTTTATATTTCTTACTGTAGATTACAATATCACGGTTCTCTGTCTCCCAGTTATCCTCTGAGGTCAATGTATTCATGTATTTGAGGATAAATAGACCATGATACAGAAAGATTAACTGACTTACCCAAAACCACACAACTAGTTAAAGGCTGTGCTAGGATTCAAACTAGCCAATGCCTGTCTCAACAGTCTGTGTTCTTTCTAGAAGATGCTGTCAGCAGGAGAGTTGACCACAATATCCTTTGTATAGCCCGGGCTGTGGGCAGTATATTTTGGGAAAATTTCAACCCCAGATGGCTCTACAAACAAACAAGGTTCTAATCCTAAAGGTAGATGAGCTTCTTCTAGTCTAGAAAGACTCATCCTTTTTTTTTTTCTTGGCCACATCTTGTGGCTTCTGGGATCTTGGTTCCTCCATCAGGGATTGAACCCAGGCTCCAGCGGTGAAAGTGCTGAGCCCTCACCACTGGACCACCGGGGGATTCCCTGGAAGATTCATCCGTAAGGAATGGAAAACAAGGATGAATGAGGCCTGCACATCTTAGGCCAAGGGACTGCACCTTTAGATGATCAGAGGGTATTTTTGACAAATGCCTCCCGCAGTCTGCAGCAGAACAAAGCTGCCTGAGATACCACCAGACCCCTCAGGTGAAGATCCCTTCAGTCTTTCCCCCACTCCCACCGCATCTCTGTCCTGGCTTTGAAGCTCAGAGGTAACTGTCTCACTGCCCTCTTCCCTTTCCTTTCCCTTGCTCAGGTGAGGCGGAAAGCCTTGCAAGAAGAGATTGATCGTGAGTCGGGTAAGACGGAAGCTTCTGACACCAAGACCTGGACAGTAAGTTTGCTGCTGGGCCCTTTGAGGAGTCTTCAGCGTTCCACCCCCTTCTCACCTTGTGGAGTGGAGGGATAGGAGGCCAAGTCCCTCTGGCCCAGAGGCAGCCCCAGCCCGCCAGCTGGCTCTCTCCTGCACAGAGCTCGTCCTGAGCTCATTTCCTTCCTTCTGGAAGAGGTGCTTGCCTCCCTCCTGGAGAGCTGGCTGCTTGAGATAAGCTGCCTGGACCTTTACCTCCTCCTCTGGACGGGCGCGGTGTCCTGGGCACCGGTCTCTCGGGGCACATGACAATGAGCCCTTCCCAGCGGTGGGTGGTGCCCTCAGAAGGCTGCTGGCACGGGGGAGGGGGCAGAGGTGGGGGCGTGTGTGGCAGGTCTGGTCCAGTTGGAATCCAAAGCAGGGCTGAGGAGATGGGACAGGAGAGCGTATAGCATGGGGCGCGTGATCTGGCTGAAGGAGGGGATGGGAGGATGCGGTGGGCACTGCTGGGGGATGTGTGTGTGGGTAAGCGGGGAGCTGGGGTAGAAGGCTCAGTCTGCAGGCCTGAGGCCTAGGAGGGGGCAGAGGGGAGGGAAGAGTACTTGTTAATAGACATGGATCTGGGGGAAGAAGATCCAGATAACGGGAAGGTGTGTCTGTTTGTGCTGTTTGAAGCTTTCATAGTGTAACACAGAAAACAACAGTTGATTCAAATCTAAAGACCTGAGATCCATTCTGAGCTCGGCCACTCTCTATAGCTGAGACTTGAGGAAGTAACTTCCCTCCTGTGAGCTTCAGTTTCCGCACCTGTAAAACGGGACTGGTGCTCTGGGCCAGTGGCATATAGAATGCAGCTTGTTACCTGTCCTTCCTCTAGGGTCTCCTTTCTCTCCATCTGCTTGAGCTGGGCGGAGCTGATAAGATTCCATGATTGAGTGAGGAAGGCCAGAAACAGGCCCGTACCACCCAGAGCAGCAGCCCAGTGGCTTTACTGGTGGACCCGACATCAGGGGGCTGCTCGGCGCGGGCTGGGGTCTTCCGCAGATGCTTTAGGTGGCACTGCCCCAAGGCTCAGGACCACTTGACTGCTGAGGCGCACGGTGGGCATGTGAGACCAGGTCCCCTCCAGGAGCTGGCTTCCAGGACTGGTCAGCCTCTGGTAGCTCACTCCTCTACACCAAGTGCGAGGTTGTCAGATGTGGCCTCTCATTCTAGAAATTGAAGGCTTGGGAAGCTGTCTTTGGTCCTGTATTGGGGCCACTGTGAAGCTGGGGGAACTTGTCACCAGTTCACTCAGGACAGCTGTAGTGATGACTGGTTCCTATTATTCTCCCAAAGCTGACCTAGAAATTAAGAGCTCAGTTAGCGTTTGGCTTATAAGTGGAAAGTTCCCGGGTGGCACAGAGGTCAGCAGTCCTGATGGGGTGGGTGGGTAGGAGTGGGTACCAAGTGCCAAGAACAGCCAGTTCTTGAGGATTTAAAACCAACCAGGCATCCTGCTCTGGGTTGCTGGTATCAAGTCTGATCTGAGCCTCACTGAAGCCCTGTTGGGGTGGGGGCGGGTGTCACACCCCCACTTTGCAGATGAGGACATTAAGGCTCAGAGAGGTTAAGTAACTTGACCATGGTAAGACTGGTGGGGTTTGATCCTGACTCTTCAAAGTCAGTCTTCGTGGGGAGCTGGGTTTCTCACCTCTGCCACAGACTTGGGAGGGGAGTCTTCTGTTGGGCCACTTCTCTGAGGGGCTCTTTTGCATTTTCTCGAACATGGGTGATTAGTGCATGGGTGGTAGAGTGCTCTGGACAGGAATTGGAGCCCCGAGTTCCTAGGCTGACTCTGCCTGCAACTCCTGTGAGCCTTTACCTCTCCGGGCCTCCACGCCTTTGCTGCCAGAAAATGCAGTGTTTCTGTGAAGCTAAATGCTTTTCAGACTCCCACTTGCACTCTCCACCTCCGCCTCAGGCTGACGGATGAGTAGCCAGCTGGCGAGGTGTGTCGTACTGACTGCCGTGAACCGGGGGAGAAGGAGTTAAGCAGACGGGCAGCTTGGTGTGAAGGGTGGCTCTGGTGAGGGCCAGACCTGAGACGCAGTCCTGCAGGATTACCACGTAGGCCTGAGGTCCCTCCAGCTGCAGACCTCCATTTCCTCATCAGTGGAGGGGGACCCAGCAGCAGTCCTCACAGGGCTCTGGTTGGAATTAAGAAGTAATTCCAGTAAGCCTTTGATCATCTGGATCCTCCCTGGTTGGGGGCTGGGGAAAGACCCGGGCTTTGGAAGCCAGGAGAGTAACCACCTGTTTTCTCTTACCACAGGGAACCCAGTTTGGCCAATGGGATACTGCTGGTTTTGAAAACGAGGAACAGAAACTGAAATTTCTCAAACTCATGGGTGGCTTTAAAAATCTGCCCCCTTCCTTCAGTCGCCCCTCCACCACGGAGGCCAGGCCCAACATGGCTCTCAGCAAGAAGGCGGCCGACACCCTGCAGCGGAACCTGCAGCAGGACTACGACCGGGCCCTGAGCTGGAAGTACAGCCGGGGGGCCGGGCTCGGCTTCGCCGCCGCCCCGGCCAAAGTCTTTTATATTGACAGGAACGCATCCAAGTCAATCAAGTTTGAAGATTAAACTCTGCTGTCTCATCCCCCCAAAACACCCAACATTGCTTTTATTGTTCTATCAGGCAGATGAAAGCCATAAGACAGTTGTCTCGAATCGAACTCCTGCGAAGATTAAGGACAACTGTGTTGATGTGCTTGGACAGACTGGGGTGAGGGCAGCTCCTTTCAAGAGCCAGGAGAACATGTTGAGTGGCTCCTGTTTTCTGTGTGACGCGTCCATTCCTGTTGAAGACAGTGAGTATAACTAGCAGGAGCGCACACTTGCCGAAGGCGTCCTGGTTGCCAGGCACTTACATGTCTCCCCTGCATTCCTGTATTTAATCGTCATGATTCTGAAACAGGTGCTATTTTTATCCTCATCTTAGGAAATGGGGTTCTGGGATGAGGAAACTGGGGTTCAGGGATAAAGTAATAACATTGCCTGGGGTCACTCAATGAGTTAAGTGCCAAGTGTACTTCTGTGCCCCAGGCCTGTGTCAACTATTCACTACAATGACTGTCCACTCTAGGGAATTTCACCCAAAATACTCAGTGGGATTAAAATGTCTTTTGATTGAAGAAACAGAGGCTTATTACATGTCTACATCTCAAGCAGGAAGTGGGATTAATGTAAACGGGCAAAAGCAAGCCCTCCCCCTGTTGGAGTAGCCACAGGCAGAAAGGCATCTGGATTCCCACCAGACAGACATGGCTGAGCTGCCTCTGCCGCTGGGAAGCTGCTTCTAAACCCATCTTGCCTTTTGCAGTCTGTGTTCCTTCCATCCCCGGGGCTGTGCTGGGATTTAATCTTTCTTGCTTTAATTGGATTCTAAGCAAGGCATTTGAGAGAGCAATTGGCTAATCCTCCACACGCACGAATGGCATGTTCTTTCCCAGGGACGTGTTTATTGGATTCTTTCCAACCACAAGGAAGAGAATTCTAGGTGACTTCCATGGAGGAGGTCGAATGTTAGGAGGCAACAGACGTGGGGGTGACAGGGCGCTGCCTCATCGGTCTGGGAACAGTGTTTCCAAAGCTTTGATGCTGTAGCCAGCCTCACAAACTCCCAGTACCCCAAGTGACATGTGACCACCTTCTCTCCATTCACCTAGCGTTTTGCGTCCCAAAATACAAGTTCTGCTTGGGCCTTTTTCACACCACTTGGCTTGAACTTCCCCTCCAGACATGCTATCTCAGGCGGGCCTGGACAGCCAGGGAATTCAGTCTCACATGGGCAGGAGTCCTGTGTAGGGGGTTGATTCAGCTTCCCATGAAGGAAACAAATGTTTCCTCTGCTCCACCATCCTACCTTGGCTTCCTCAGCTTGGTGGAAAGATGACTGTAGCAATTGCATGCAGCAAATCAAGACACTAGACCATTCTAGAGGGAGAAGAGAAAGCTTCTTGTGGCTCAAGGAAACTTCCAGAAGCCCTTTTGTCATAACTCCTTGCCCAGCACTGGGTGCCCAGTGTTGCCCACCCATTCTTGAGCCAGCCCCTGGCATGTGGAGGGAAATTCTCAGGCCAGTCAGGAAGGAAGACTGAGGTTCAGATGCTGGCAAGGTGAACGTGGGTCCACTACTGCCCCAGCAGGCAGAGGTGAGGCTGGTCTGCCTGGGCCCTGACCAACAACCATTGGCCAGGTCTGGAGTCCTGCATGCCTGTGTCAGCCCTGATTCTGGTGGGCCACCTCCCACAGAACCTGAATGTGGCCCTCCATGGATGCAGTCCTGAGATACATAACGGAAGAGGCCTACAAGGTGAGGTTCTGCATTGAGTTAGCTCTTCAGGGCATGTCCTCTTCGGACAGCGGTGGTCTTGATCCACACTCTGGGAATTTGTCCAGTGTGAAAGGAGCGAACCACGTCTCTGATCCCTGTGTCTTGCTGATAGCTCATGTCACAGTTTGGGCCTGCTTGGCTGTCAGGAAGGACCGTGCCCACCCATCTACTGTGTGAGTCTGGAGAGCGGGTGAGCAGTTGTCCCCCTCTTGCTGTTCAAAGTGTACAGTCTCTCTGTGATAAGATTTGACTTTCTAGCACCATGTGGCTGAAGAGTTCCCCTTGGCTTGGGAAGGTTTATTAAAGTCTGTTCCTGAAGCAGGGTCCAAGCAGAGAAGGTTGGACAGCCAAGACGGCAGGATGCCAGGTGTCCTAAGATTGAACCTGGCCTTGTCTCAGCTGCTTGCGTAGGTGCAGACCATGCTGCTGTAGTGACGGCTCCAGCTCTGAGGTTAACTGGGCCTCGCTGTCCTTTTGTAAACTGAACAGCATTGTCTTGAGTCGCCCCTCTCCGCTTTGCCCCACGTCCTGGGTCCTCCTCAAGCTGTCTTCAAGGTTTTATTTGGTGTGATTTCCCATGTTGTTCATTTGTTGATTCTGTGTAGCACACAGCCTGTCTCCACTGGAACAAGGCAGTTTTTGGATTTTCACTCAGAATCTGGGAGAGGTGGGTGGGGGTGTCTGGTATGTAAGCACAGCCAAGGTCTTAGCTGAGTATGTAACAACCCTGCTCTCAAACACATTGGCCTTTTCTCCCTTGGGGATTTCTCACAGACTGATCCTCCTTCTATGTATGGCAGGGCCTTCCCTCCTTACGATTGCCTTTATCCAACTGTTCCCCAAACCTCAGGATTCTTGACCACTTTATTCCTTGAGGTGATTTCCTCTGTTTCCCACTAAGCTCCTCCCTGAGGCCACCCTTCTGCAATTAGATTGGCCCATCAAAAGTATTTGCCAGATTAGAGTTCTTCCCTTAAAAATTGTGTGTTCAGCTCTACAAACAGAACTGTTTAGGTTCTATGCACCCCCGCAACCCCCTGCCCATCCCAGTCCTCATCACTGGAACCTATTAATACGTCGTGATGCAAAACCAACAGGAGTTTAAGGTAGCAGATGGAATTAAGGTTGCTAAGCAGTATGATTTGACTGGTCCTACCCAGATAATCCAGGGTTAAAAGTATCAATAGAAGACAGAGACAGAAGAGTCAAGAGATTTGTAAGAAACACTCAACAAGCTGTCACTAGTTTGAAGATGAAGGGACCCCATGCCAAGGCATGTGGGTGGCCTCTAGAAGCTGGGAAAGGCAGGAAAACTGATTCTCCCCTAGAGACTCCAGAAGAACGCAACACCTTCATTTTGAAGGAAAGGCCACTGGACTTCAGACCAGTAGAGCTATAAGGTGATAAAACTGTGACATTTTAAACCCCTAAGTGTGGCAGTTTAGAGCAACAATAAAAAAATTAATACAGGTGTCATAGAGAAGTTTTCATTTTTACCTTAATTTCCTAAAAATTTTCTCTTTCTTCTGGTTCCATCATTCTTCACGATTGTAGACCTCATGCCATGTAGGCTGCAGTCTTCAGAGACTGGGTAATTTAGTTAACAGGCTGGGGAACCCACACGAGAACACAAAATCTCAGCTTTCACCTGGGCCAAGGTGACATGTGAATCAGAAGTTGCTTTGGTGTAACGTATCCCTGACCTAATGTGAAAGTCCAAGTCCAGGTTAATGGAAGAGCAGTAGGAATTCACTGACTCAGGCTTGGGCACTGATGCCGTCTGGTATGTATAGACTCAAACCAGAAGAAATGACTTAAAAGTGCATAATTTGACTTTGCCAATTGACTTTCATATGAACAGTATCATATAGTAAAAGTGGTATAGGAAATGATTTTAATGGAATAATCTTGTGTAATAAAGTCCACTTGGGAATATTTGAGCAATGCCACCATGCTTTCTCAATGGGTTTTCTTCAGTACACGCCGTTCTTCATTGCAGGCCATTTTCTCAGCAGAATTCTTGGGTTGGGGGTGGGGTGAGGGTCACTGTTAAGCTGGCAGAAAATTCACAGCATATTCTTGGTCCCAAACTATTCAGTTAAAACATGAGTTTATATAAATTTTTAATTATTTTAGCTACTTCTGTGCAAACTGTAATCAGGCTTTTCACAGAGTAGAAGTGAAATATAGTCTGCTCAGTGGATACCTTCCAAAAATACAATGGTTTGGGGGCACTTTTAATCCACAGCTTGGATGCATTTTCCTGCACAAAGGTTCTAGGCTGTGAGTCACCACTACGACCAATATTCATGATCTTACTGATTCAAAATAAAATGTCGGTGGAAGCTCATTAGTGGTAATACAAGAATCAAACTCCATCAAACTAGTGAAAAAAAAGCAGACTGAATCACATGCTGTTTAGGGTTAGGGCTGCAAGAAAACCAGACAGTATATTTAGACACATACTGAGGCTGTTTAGACACATTCTCTTCTGGATGAGTAAGAGTCAGTGGTAATTAAATGAACAGTCATGAACATAAATATTCCTTCAGGGAGGTTTATTCAGTTACAGTATATTTTCCATCGAAGCCCAGAGAATCTTAAATCTGACATTGTTTTCTCCTTTAATCTATAAGCGTATTTAAAATCCAATCAAGAGCCGGTTTTGACATAAAGCAAATCGGGGAAAGGGCACAGTGACTCTTTCAAAGTGGACTGCTTTTCAAGATTCTTTTTTCAATTAACTTTCAATTAAACCTTCCTGAAAAGAGAGATGTTACTTGAATCCTCTGTTTTTCTCTAAAGGCCCATCTGAAGGCCAGTTGTGCAAAGAAACAGATGCCGTGCTCAGTGGGCAGGAATAGATTCGAATACTCTTGACAGCTCTCACTTCACTTCACTGGCAGAACAGCAGAGAAACCAATCTGTATGTGTGTAAAAATGAAAACAAAAATACAAAACAGGTCTTTTCTGGATTGGCATCAGAGACCCTGGAGTCAGGTCCTTGTCTGCAGAGGGAGCCTGAGGGCCAGCTCAGTCAGATGCCCCATGTCGGGCTGCTTGCTCTGCTTCTTGATGTATTCCAGAGTTTTTACCTAGGAGGAAAGAGAAAGACTCGTCTCCTTTGTGGTTCATAATTCTCAAGGCTCTGACAAATTAGCCATATTGTGAACTTAGGCTTATTAGAGAGGAGAAGCCAGCAGCTTTTAAATAAGACTCCTTAGATTAAAACTTGCTCTTAAAATCA